TTGCAGTAATGACTGTATCCTATAAATACTGCAAACTTATGTGCATGCATTAACTGTTTCTGCTACTCGTGCCTCTGATGATGAATCCGCGACGGATGCCGAAACGTCAGGCGAATAAACGCATTGTCCCAGCGATCGAGTCTTCTTCTACTGTGGTTATTTGCGTCTACAAAGTATAATAGTGTTCTTCAAAATATCCACAATAATAGTCCTGATGTTGAAGCGGTCACTTAACTTAATCCTATATTGACACTAGGCCTAACTAATAAGTCTAGACTCCAAAATTCCACAAACCATAACGAAGACACTAATTTTCCTGACACTTAGCGCAAAACCACTCCCCGGTCGGGACACCCCTGGTTCTGCGTTTCGGCCGCGTGTGTGCTCATATAGTATCCTTACTCTCATCCAGTACGCAGATTTCAGTCTCAATTTACAGACTGTCTTAAATACTTTATTCTGAGCTAGCTCATGTGTGAAGCTTATGTCGTACAACATGGATTGGGCTGATTTATAGTGAAGTCGTTAAAATGTTAGCTTGTGAGCATTTATCAGCACTAAGAAAACGAGATATAGTTCACAATTGTAAGATAATGTACAACCATCGTTCACTCCTGCATCGCATGTAGTGAAAATTATCGATACCATTCAGTTTTGCCTATCCGTCGGATTTGACAAACGCAAACGAAAAAGGGGCAAGAGGAATAAGCCCACCCATCAAATAACTACTAGCCAAACTGAGGATAGATAAATGTAGCAAATGAAACACACCAACTAGAAAATCCACTAAATAAAGCATTGACCCATTCTTTGATGATAGTCTAATGACCTCTTGCAGAGCCGCGGCTGGTATGGAAATACTGTCTACAGAAATGGTGACCTTACAGACAAACTCAGGTAATTTGAAGCATCTTTTCCCAGATACAAATTTGAAGATTGCGTACATAGCAGAATTTAAGGCAACCATAAATTTCGCGAGCGCTCATCAGCTGCAGCCACTCGCCGCATAAACTGAGTAACGAATGAGAAAATACAGAATTGAATTTATACAGAAAAATTGATACAAAAACATCAAGGTCACAGAATTGGCACGAACAACTCATATCTTACGCTACCTGGAGGCAACATACATACGGCGGTTTTAACTTGACCTATGTAAACAAGTGAAGCATGTTGTGAATCTAACGCTGCCGTGGTAGCACCGGCTCCCTGTTTACACATTCCTCTTCCCATATTTTTTTGCCTCAGATTTTTTTTGCCTTCGACGTTTTTACACCGTTATTTTGCTGCCCACAGCGTTGAAATTTCCTACTTTATTGATTGCCCCTTGGCCAATTCTGTGACCTTGATGTTTTTGTATCAATTTTTCTGTATAAATTCAATTCTGTATTTTCTCATTCGTTACTCCGTTTATGCAGCGAGTGGATGCAGCTGATGAGCGCTTGCGAATTTTATGGTTCCATTAAATTCTGCTATATACGCAATCTTCGAATTCAGGTAACTAAATGCTTTTTGGATGAGTCAAAAAGGCGAGCGAATAGAGTTGGCTCTGTGGGCAACGTTTGTTATTCATATGGGATGTGTAAACTCGAAATAATGCTCTACTAATTCCGAGGCTGAATAGAGGCGCGACGCTGAAAATGGTTAACCTCGACAATAGTCATGCGAAGATTTATAAACTCTCTTGCAGGACAGACGCAATGATAAGTCACATAGATGCTCACTGCAAGTTAAAAACTTTAAACAAAATTTAATACAGGGGGAAAGATGAAAGCATTTGGAGCATGGAGTGAGGCATAAGAAATGCCGTGAGACCGGCATTCATTAGACGAATATCAGCTGTTTCCATTAGCATCAATGTTACTTGCTAAACGATATTTTAAAAAATGGTAGTGGCTTTCTTTACGTTTTGCATGATGAGCTCACGAGAACAAGAACATGAAGTCCTCCCGTAAGCAAGAACTGGTTTTCGGCTGTCCGATA